TAAAAACGAATTGGGTTCTGCCAACGCGTGAAGGTTTCATCAAATATTTTCACACGAAAATGTTTTGTAAAGCTTTTTGCTTAACCCCGGCTACCAAAAAAAATATATTAATCAACGTTGGCAAACTGAAACACAATGCGCAGAAAAAGTGGTTAACATGCCCGTGAACTCTCACACGTGTTTAAACATGGAAGATGTTGCACTTATTTTCCCTTTTATTTTGTTGCAATCTCTCGCCATCTATTGTAGTTTCAGGAAAGGGAAAATTGTGCGACTTTGTAGGTATCTCCACATTAAATGCATCTTATGTGCACGCGATTTTGGCACTATATTATACTCCTTGGTATCATGTTTCAGGGTCAAAACGCTTTTCATTACCGCTGAAAACACACCCATGCGCACATTAACTCCATGGCAGTTGTTTAATTATTGATACATATCTGGAGATATAGCATACACTGGAAAGTGAAATTATAAAGATATTAGTAAAGTAATTGATAGGATTTGTAAAGCGTGAGTAAATGATTTACGTAAATTTCTCAGGGCTTTTGTTAGAATTGCAAATATCATTTCTACCAGCATAATATATTAAGGTGTCATCATTTGTTCCAGTGCCGTGTGTGCTTCAGTCGGTCTCATTAGTTTCCTTTTGACGGCTTTAAGAATGGCCCAAAATGATTTGTGCGAGGCCGCGACAGCAACACTTTCCATTCACGCCCGCGCCTTTCGCTTTTCATTCGCAAACAGTTCTCCAGTTGTGCGAAACTGGAAATTAAAAACACTTAATGTGCACTTCCGGCACGAGGCGGGGGAAAACAGATGAAAATTCCGGAGATACTATGTTCGAGATGCCGGAGTTGCTGCACCAACTTATCGGTGCCATCAGCAACAGCAACAGCAACATGTTCAGCGGCAACATCGGCGGCCAACAACATTTTACGTTAATATGTTTGTTTGTTTGTCTTTTGTTTCTGGCTCGAACCCTTTTTTGGCACGTTTTGTCTTCTGCCTTTGTTGCCTGTGTGTCGTCTTGCTTTTTGTGTGTGTGTTTTTTTTACCACTCCACTCTGCTCTTTCGCTAAATGTTGTTTACTTATTGTCATTGTCGGTGCTGTTGCCATTTTTCCTTTGTTTTTCCCAACATTGTTGGTGCCGATGCTTAACATTCACCTACTTTTCACCTTGTTAGCCACGTTTGAAGCAGCAGCAGCAGTAGCAGTAGTGGCTGTAGAAAAAGCAGCAAATTCTGCGCTTGGCCCTGGCATCATCATCAAAGCCAACGGCGGAGGCTTCAAATGAAATTAGAAGTTGACGCAGTGCAAAAGTAGAAAAAGCACCTAAAGCACCAAAAGGCGGCCAAAACAATAAGGTACAACGGCACGATAGGGGCTGAAACAAAAAGCCAACAATGCAAACTGCACAGCGAACCAAAGCCAAGGAACGAAACGATTTCAGAAGACGATGGCCTGCACTATAACAAAAAGAACTAGGCAGTTTTTAGGCGCAAAGGTAAAAAGGAAATATAACATCAGCTCCACTATGTATTAGTTATTATCGATATAGATCTAAAATATTGAATATTGAATTAAGATATATCCCTGTAAAAGATAAGTTTGTGGAACTAGAATAACTAATGCTACCGTTGGTTTTCCCCCAGTGTAAATCCACTCTCCTCGGCGGCGAGAAGATGAAAACTGAGCTCTAAGTAGAAAGTTAATTAGGCTTAAATGTGCGAGAAGTCGGCGTTGACGACGGCATTGAGTAGGAAACACAACAAATACAACAAGAATAATGGTAACAATAGCCAGGGAGAAGATGAAGCAGAAAAGCCAATTAAAAATTCTTACGCTTTTGCCTTAATTTTTCCGCCAGCTTCGCAATGGCTAATAATAATTTCAAGCCAAAAACTGAATCGCTGTACGGCATCAGCTGCTTGTTAATTAATTTTTATGCATTTCTACAAATGTTCAATTCGAAAAAGTTTTGCGATACGGACTTGGCGTTTTTGTTAGCGTGCAGCGAAGCGAGCCAATCAATGGCCAAGCGAAACTTTCGTTTTGACTGAATTTCACTTGGTTGGCCCAAAGGCGCCCACAGAAAATCGCCCACAAATCATTGGCGGACCCGCCGCCAACTTGGTTGACATTAATTGGACCCATTAAACGGTGTTCGCTAATAAGTTGGCATCAACTAAGTTCCGGAAGTGGCGCTCTTGCTCTTCAGTTCCGGCCTTTGTTGTGTTCTTCTCGGCCTTGTTCGTCGAATGGGAACGATTAGCCCTCAGACAACTTACGGCAAATCGAATTGGACTAGATTGCGTATTTCTGTGTGTTTGCGGCCCTAACGACCTACCAATATGTGCCACAAAGCCCTTCGAGCAGGATTCCCAATTTTCAACAGATTGAAACTTTTTCAGTTCTATGGTTTCAGTCCTGAGTTAAAAAAAACTGCAAACAAATATCAATTTCACCTTTTTAGGAATTGCAAAATATTTTTGACCGTAGAGACGATGTTTATGAACACGAACTTCAAAGATTAAGCTGGTGAAATCATTTAGTATCATAATTAATATTTAATGATTTAGAGCCTAGGTGTTAAAATGAAGTCAATAAACTAAGAACAAAGCGAAAGCACACTAATTGAATTATGAATATATAATTAGCGGTTGCGTAATGGTGAATTTTGCGTTTTTGTGAATCCCATATACATATGTATGCAACCCAGCCAAATATTTGCAAATTCCTTTCAAAATAGTTAATGAATACACTTTGTAAGTCAATTTTTCTTTGCCTGTTTTCCGTAGCTTATGCTTAGTACATATATCTATTGAAAATCGAAGCTGTCCGCTCCACATCCGCTGCCATCTCGATGACTTTATCGAGCGGCCCATTCTGAACTCGAAAAGGGGACGTATTAACGTGGCCTTAAGGTCGTACCATCAACGCGGCCAACGGCAGCAACTAATTTAGGGCTTAACTCTAATCAACGTTCAGCAGCCCGGCCGACTGAAATCTCATGGATGCGTGTGCCTGCATTTGAACGCGAGTGTGTGTACCTGTGTTGGCCATAATTGAATGGAGTGCTGCGGGGAGGTGGGTGTTCCAGAAGGGGTAATCCACTGGGCAATGCAGCCACAAAAGGGTCTCCACTTCAGCAACTTTCTGCATGTGCCAGTCAATTTGCATTTTGAGGAGCGGAGAGCCAGAGAATCTGGCAACTGTTGCATAATTAAAATTGGAAAATTAATTTCATAATTTTGGCCAGCGCTTTCATTATTAACAATTGTCCCGAAAAACACAAAAGCTCCTTCTGCTGACCGACATTTTCTCTCTGTTTTTTTTTTTTTCTGTTTTTCAGTTTTCCATACTCAGTTTTCAGTTTTCAGTTCGCCCGATTCTGGCATCTCGATTCGCTTTTGTTTCAGGTTTCGAGTTCCTGTTCTGGCCGTTTGGCTGGTTCCATTTATTATTTATGTGCATTTTGATGTGGAAAATATTCCTTTTTCGTCGTTTTGTTTGCCTCGTTGTAGCTACGTTTTTATATATTTTGTTGTTACATGAAGTTTTGCCAGTTGGAAATTTGTCGCCACCCGGAAAAGTTTTGAGGGAGATATGTATATATTTTGCGTATTGTCATTTGGATAACATTGTAATGCAGTTGGACTGGAATAGTTTTTTGTACAGTTCGAGAGCTGGAAAAGCTGCAGAGCAATTTCCACTTTACACTCTTGGCCATGTGGGTTAATTAGCACTGGCATTTCCTCAGCTAAAGGGAAATCACTTGGCAGTTACGTTTGAATCTGCAACATTACGGGGCCTTTGAGTTTCCGCCTTGGCAACTACATATGTATACTACATATACATATGTGGCTGTATAGTTCCGATTAACCCCGGCTTGGAATCTACAGTTCCGATTTAACCCGGGCTTAATGAGGCCGCAGATGCAGAGTTGGCCAAAAGAAATCGCTGATGTAATGCCACGCACATTTGCCACAAGGCAATGCCCCTACCACAGGCTAACTGCCCATTGTGTGTAAATTTGTTACCATTTTTTCTTCTGTTTTTCGTTGTATCTCTTTTTTCTACGCTACCTCGTATTGCACATAAAGGTAATTTCTAATTTGCTGGTGTTTTATTGTTTTTCTGCCGGCTCATTTTATGGCGCCGACTTATGCAACACCTCTAAGTCAGCGACGCATGCGCTCGAATTACACACATGGATATGGACACTAAACGCAGGGCTTTGCCTCCATATCGACCATAAAAGCATAACGGCGTTCATTAATCATGCTGGTCACGTCGACCCAAGAAAAAAGAACTGAAATCTTACACTAACACAAAATGTTTAAGAGCGAGAATGTGATCTAGTAAACGACGAACTAATTGTGAATAGTTAAAGAGGTTTGGAGACCACATACAAAAACCTTGAAAACGCAGTGAATCTGATTTTTTACGAAATTATTCTATTTCGGGAAATTAAGTGGTTTCCCATTGTCATACTTAATTGTACAATACAGTTCTATAAAGAACTGTCCTAATACCCAATACTTTTCGCAATTTAGCTATAAAATCCGGGCCTTACTACAAATAAGACTATGTTAACCCTAATAGTATTTACACTTATTGTATTATAGTCTTGTTTACTTAAGTTTCCTCCAAAGTTGTCTTGGGCGTAGATTTTTCGCTAACTGCAGCGAAGCTAGGGGGAACCTTGTATGGCAGCAAAAGAACAGTAGCATCGACAACTGTTGCCAATTAGCGGCAACATGCAAAGCGCATTTGCATTGAACCTGGAGCTCTCTATTTTGCGATTCTGCCTGCTGGCGATGACACCGGTGCACCGATGGCACCAACAACCGACCTGGAAAACGTAATCAGTTCAAGCCGCGGCACGGGATTAGGTTCACTGAAAGGACCAGGTACAGGTATCCTAATTGAGCTCTTCAGATATAATGTGCAGCAATAAATTCAGGATTTTTGCATACCTGGGAAGTCGGGGAAACGCGAGGAAACCCACATTAGAAGCACGTACCTGAGGGGTTTAAAAGTCACCCGCACACGCACTGATTGCATCATTTGCCCGCAAACCAGTGACGAGAACGTTTCGATTTGCATAGAAGATACAAGAAGTAAAATGTCAGACTGTTCCAGCAGCAACTCCGGTGCCAACTCCCAGAGGAGGGAGAAATCCGTGAGCTATGCCCTCTACCTCCACCGAAGGGAGTTGGGGCGTCCCAAGCGCAGGTTGATGCGAATCGCCAGCACCAAGCTGCAGCTGACAAACGAGCTCATCCAGCTGCAGCAGCGTCGCCAATGGGAGACGGCCTTTGACCTAGAGTTCGACGCGGAGGCCAGTTCCCAGCAGAGGAGTGCCCTCGATAGGGAACGGGAGTATCGGGACAGATTGCGAACCAATATGCAGCGGCAACTCGAGAAGCAGCAGAAACGCAAGCGAAAGTATCTCCAGGAAATCGGCAGCTGTAGTACTGCCAACTACCAGTAAAATGCGGAAGGCAATAATCAATTAATTAGTTGAGCACCATATTAAGTAATTTTAAGAGCATGATAACTCCTATTGACAAACTAGAAAATCAAGATTTTCAAGCTATAGGTCTAATCTTTCTGACTATTTTCTATACTCTTATTTACACTCAGCAATTCCTGCTTTGCATAAAACAAGGGAATCGAAAATCTATTTTGTGATATAATGAGACAGCTCATTAGTTTTACGGCATTACAAGTGCATACCATTATATGAATTATTATATAAATCTAGTATTAAAACAGAAGCTATAAAACGAACCAATCGTCAAAACTAATTTCGAAGTCGGCCAAAAGATTTGTGATTAGCTATCCATCGTTTATCTTCGCTCGTTTGCAGAATTGATTTTCCTTCTTTCTAGGCCACGGACTTTTAGCTGGTTTTAGCCAAGCCAAAAAGAGTATCATAAATCACGTAAAAAACTGCGTCTCTCTGTGTGACTTCCACAACTCAAGAGATGGGGGCTGAGACAAGCAAAAGTGTTTGACTTTTGACACTCCTTCCTAGGCGGTTAAGGTGGCAACGACTGTCAAGTGCAGGAAAAACTGAAACACTACACACAAATAACAACCTAATGGATACCTGATACTAAACAACATGTTTACTAGCAATTGCCAATCAAACGATAATTGAACTTCTTTAAAATAGAAATATATAAATGAGGCTTTTATTATCCACTTTGCTTGAAAATCAATTGATTGTAAAATACAATTACAGGTTTTTTTATAGTTTTACCTTGAACATATTTCTATTTTGTATCATCTATGTGTTGGATCTACAGAATATACCCCAATCCCGTCGACTACCTCGTGGAAAAGAAAAGCGCCAAGAACAGGCAAGGAAATGCAACAGAAGCCGCCCAAAGGTGAGCGCGCGGCAAGTTTTTTTCAATTTCCTGCTGCCATTACGGCGAGCGTCGCAGCTGTGCGCCGTCCCTCTTGCACACAGTTTTCCCCCTCTACTCAGAATTTTCCTGGCCATTGACGTTTTTCGCGCACGAAGGCTGCGTCTTCTTTTTAGTTTTCCTCTGGTCGCGGTTGTTGTCTTCGCTCTCGCTTCTCGCTTGATTTGTCACACAGTCCCAACGGGAAAATAAACCTGTCCCCGTGTACTATACTACACTCGCAGTGTCTCTGGGCCGTGGAAAACCGGTATGTGCGCTTTCTTTTTGCTCCCACTGTGCTGCCGAGTGGGGAAATGCATGGGGGCGGGGACAGCTCGGGGGCGGTATGCATTGCGTTTCATCTTAGCTCTCGTATTTAGTTGCAATTCCCTTACACACACTCGCAAGGAGCAGCCACACACAGAAAAATATGGTTCTAGCATTAATTCTATATTAAAAAAATGTGCTTAAAAAAGCGTTAAAACCTTAAAAACGTAAATTACGCTTGTCACAATATCCGAATATCCAGCCAAGCTCTTTGAAAAAATGGCTTATTAATAACAGAATTATTACCATTGAAACTGCATTCGTATTCAGAGCGCCATTAAAGCCTCATTAAGATTAAAATGAATACTTTTTATACGAAAATGTATTAATTAAAGCAAACCATTTTTTGTAGTTGATAACTTGGTTTCTGCGTGTACCAACCCTATTCCCCATCGCTGTTTACAATTCTAAGTGCAGTATCTCGGCGAGTTTCGCTCAGTTTTTTACAGGCATTTTCTTCGTTTTGTTTCTGCTTTTTTTTGTTGGCATGTCGGTTATTTATGCGCCTTGTTGTCCCAATTCTTGAAAAATACTACAACAAGCCTCGTGACTGCGTCTGTGTCTCTGACCATGCACTTTAGGATTTTTTTAGCAGCCTGCTATTTTTAATAAGCAGTGCTACAAAAGAGCTCCCCTTCTGTCGTTTTGTTTCACTTACCTCACTTTATCCGTTGGCCATTAAACGCTGCAACCTGGAAAAGAGGGCAAAAAGAAGTTTTTATTATTTAAGGCAAAATCAATATGAGAAATTCTGCTGACAGCGACCAGCTCGCTGCGTTCGTATGTGCATATAAAATTTTACAACAACCCAGGGGCGGGGACTGACATAAATTTAATACCTTTTCAAATTGTTTTTCATAACCCATTTTCCTATAAATGCGCTGCTGCACTCTGTTGGCCAGCAGATAAAGTGCATTTGTTTACTTTTCCTTTATTTCACGCTGCAGTAATTGTTTCAATAGCAATGCCGAAAAACAAATATGAACAATGCAAATACGAAACTAACTCGGCCGCTGGTTCTTTGCTGAATTTTATCTCTTCTCGGCCCACAGCATTTGAGCCACTGTTAATGCAAAAGAGCTTTGCTAATAAGCCTTTAAAAATATGGAAATTCCACTCATAATGAGGTTATGTATGCACTGATATAAACTCTTCTTTGGTTTAATACACAGGTTCGATTTATCATTATTAAATAATAATTTTAAGAAGATGGTATGCTTTGAGAAAAGAACTTTAAAGACTTTCTTAGTCCGAGTACCAAAATAAGTTTAGTTTAGTAGTTGTCATTTTCTTTCAGAATTCCCAGATTCTCTATTAAATTTGATCTCAGTTTAGGATTGTTAGCTTTCATTCCTTGGTGCAAAGCAAACCTCTTCACACCGTGCTGAATGTTATCATTAACCCCATAATGCCCCATTTATTCGCCAGTTCCGTGTACCCATGTCTTTATGTTCATTCAGCCGTGGGACAATGGGAAACTTTGGATTCTACCCATTTGAGTTTTCCCGATGATTTTTGCTACTGCTGTTGGTTTGTTTGCCTTTCCTGTTTTTTACTTTTCGTTCGGCACTTGGGCTTCTTCTTGTTGCATTGAATTCTGCGTGTCAGCAGCAGCTGTGTTGGCCACTAAACAAAGACCAATGTAACAACAACTGTAATAATAGCAACAATAATAGCAAGCAAAACAAAAAACACACTCCGGCTCAAACAAACAACATTGTACAAATAACAACACTTTTTATTGCTACCAAAAGAGAGATGGATGGAGTAGTTGCCAAAGCAGAAGAAGCAGTCCAGTGAAGGGGGGAAATTCATTGCGGAGGGGTGGGTGGAAAAGTGGGCGGTGGGTCTGCAAGGGGGACGGGGGCAGTGTGAGAGCCGTAAACACAAATAAACAATTGCAATTGTGTGGCGATGGTTGTAATTCTGTGAGCTGCTAAATCGTCTGTAAATACTTTTGTACAAGTTAACAGTTATAAATGGGCTTTTTATGACTTGTATGGGACAATATTTGTGAGCACACTACACAACACTGGACACAAGTTGAAGGGCGAGAGGGAAATGGTGTGGTGAAGGAGGTGGATTAATGGGCCGAAAGTCCCTGTCAAAGAGATAGATGTGTGTTTCGACCTGAAATATACCCAATAAGGAAATATAAACTTTAGTGTAGGTATAAAATGAAATTTTTGCAAACCCTGGCATCAAAGAACCAGAATTTATTTCCCCAACTCGAATAGATCCTGAGATACAACTGCCTTTCCAAAGCCAAGCAATGTACAAAACCTGTACTTTACAAGTTTATAGCCGATAATTCATGGGGAATCTTTGCTGATCCTAAGAGAGATAGAAATATTATGCCAATAACCACAACAAAAGTGGCATACCAATGATAGTAAGCCAAAGCCTCATGGATCGTATGATCCAAGTGTTTTATGAAGCCACATTATGAAGCATACGTACACTCTGCATATTACAGGCAATTGGGGATTTGTAGTCCAATGATAATGGCATTGAGCTGTTTTTGCTACTGCCACTGCCGCACTGCCTTCGCTCCACATTTTTCTTGTTGCAGGCATTCGGAATCGCTTAGAAAGTCACTTGAGGGATATGGCCAACAAATCGAGCTGCGAGTGAAGCCAAACACTTTACTTACGTCTGTTTGTCAGTCAAGTGAAATCGTATGCCGCCTTCTGCGTCTATGCCCCATGTCCACGTCCACGTCCATGTCCATGTCCATGTCCAACTTTGAGTCCAAAACCGAATCCGAGTGCGAATACGAATCCCAGTTCGAATCCAACTCGACGTGGATGTCTGCTCGTTGTCTGGCCAAGTGGCAAGTAGTTATTGTTACGATTTATGGCATACGCACAGCAGATGAACGGGGGAGAGTTGCTCCATCCGGGGGATTTCTATTTCTATTGATTTTTTGTACCACTGGAGCTGCTGCTACTGCTTCTGCTGCAGTGTGTTTTCTATTTGCTGCTGTTGATTTGCCACACGTCCATAATAATGCTAAGAAATGGAAATCATAAAAGTCAACAATCATCCACGTTGGCCATGACCAGATTACTGCCGTCGGTGCGCTGGAAAATCGGTTGGGGTATGGGTATGTATATAGCAAACAGTTAGTTGCAGTTGAATTTGCGCGGCATCATTAGGAAAATTTTTCGCTTTCGTCAAAGAAATCAGGCAGTACCGCCATAATGATGTTGACGCTGCGTTTTGTACAGGTGAAAAGATGTTTGGGGTCGCAATTCAGTAGGCTTGGGAAAATATCACAACTCAATCGATATTGACAATCTTTGCTATCGATTTTATACTACCCCTTTGGATGAATACTCTCCAATTACACGGCATTAAATACCAATCCCTTCGGGATGGCCAATCGAGCCTGAAATGTATACAGCACTTGTGTGTTTGACAATTTTGCATACGGCGGTGAAAGTCTGAAAAAACTGCAAACATAAAACTAGGCAGGCGTAAAAATGCAACGACACAATACCCCGCCCTTTTAGCCCATTTACATGCCAGCAACAGCAAAATCAAATCTGCTACGACGAGAGTAATGCAAGATTAAATGCAACAAAAAGTGGCATACAACATTCGCAAAAAGCGAAGCTCTACATAAGCAAAAGCCAAACAAAATATTTATTATTACACAGCAATGCATGCAGAAATACCCTAACCCAAAACTGCTTTCGACTGACAGATGATGGGCTTTGTTATGCCATAAATGCCATGGGAGCTGGGGAATTAATTCTTTGCTCTATTATCTAACAATTAAACCATAAATTCTGATTATCTAGTGACATGGCAGCATGAAAATTTATGAGCGGACGAGGATCGAGGTCAGTAGAAACATATTCGGGTGATGATTTTCGGACATGATGTTAAAAAAGGTGATGCAAGAACTTTTCAAATATGTTTTCATTTTGATTGAGGTTTTATATATTTCGTTGTTTTTTGCAACTTTCCGATAAGCTAAAGGTCAACAATTAGTACAATTAGTCCAATAAGTTAAATAAATTTGATATGTTAAATCAAGTGAAC